TGTTCCTCCTTCTTCAGCAGAGCATCTGGTGGATTTGAACCACACACCTCTGGGATTGCAGTGCAGTTTCCTGCCACTAGGCCACCAGAGCTCACCCCATTTCACTTCTTAACACAGGGGTGTCCTTGACTTCCAATCCTCTCTCCAGCAGGAGGTTTGGTTTGTTGACTTAGAACTTGTTACAGGAAAACACCAGATTCAGACCAAACCTTCACCGGAAGTGGTGAAAAACCGCTGCTGGGTATGGTGTGGTACAGCTCTGCAGACCACCGCCATTGCAACAACTAGGAAAAGATGCAAAATGAAAATAATTGTAATTTTAAGGACAATGGGGAGTAAAGGAAGGAATTGTTGTTGTTGTGTGCCATTGAGTCTGAACTGACTCGTATCTGACTCCAGGTTGGTTGGTTGGTTTTTTACCACCCCCCCCCCAGCAGGTTTTTAGAGGCAGTAAGTTACGTAGGAGGAGACTTCCCATCATCCCTCAGCATCTGGTAGATTCGAACCACACACCTTTGTGATTGCAGTGCAGTTTCTTACCACTTAGCCACTAGAACTCTCTGGAAGAAATGATTGGTGTTGTTAGGTGCCGTTGACTTAAGTATGACTCATAGTGAACCTATGAACAGCAGATCTAGGATTGCAGTGCAGCTTCTTGTTTGTTTGTTTTTTTAAATTTTATTATTTTTGTGTGTGTGTAACATCAAATCAGATGTGATTGGTACAGGATGAGATTGTCCCCCTTCTCCAGCAAAGCATCTGCTGGATTTGAACTGCTCATCTCTGGGATTGCAGTGTCAGTTCATCTGGTTAAGGGTCTTTCTCGCTTTCGCTGTCACTTCATTTTTCCAAGCATGATGTCCACAGACTAGAAATCAGGATTGGCCACTACTTCTTAAATAGTAGACCTCTGAAAACCTGCTGAATATGAATAATAGTGAAACACTGAAGAAATGTTTAGGTGAGTTCAACTCCTTGGGGGAAAGATGGGCAATGCTCCGTCAAGGGGAGACTGACAGTCTTGGAAGGCCAAAGGAGGATCGCCTTGAGTCAGAGTGAACTCAACGATGGAACCGCAGACTGGAGAACAGAACTGGGTGGGAAGGAAGACCTCTGCTGTAGTCATGCAGCCAAGCATCATGTAAGACCCTGCTCCCTGCCAGCATCACCCCCAGTTTCATGCTCCCTGGGTCCCCACCTTCTTTACATAAATCTGTCCTTTTCTTCTTGTTGTTGTTATGTGCTGTCGAGTCGCTTGCGACTCATAGTGACCCTATGTACAACAGCCCTAAACTCTGACCTATCCTGTGCCAATCACACTGTCTCTGACACTCCCATCCCGCTTATCCCAGTCACTGAATCAATCCACCTCATAGAGGGTCTTCCCCTCCTGTGCTGTCCCTCCACCCTCCCAAGCATGATGTCCCTCTCCAAGGACCAGTCTCTCCTCACAACATGTCCAAAGTATGTTAGACGGAGCCTCAGAATCCTTTTTTTAGGGGGAAAAAAGAAATGTTTAGGTGAACTAAATTGCAAGGAGGAAAGGCTTTCTAAGGTGAACTGGAGGTGGTGGGTGGTTGCTTTCTTCCGTGAGGCATCACTGAGAATCAAACTTGTCCTAAGTCGAGAGCGACTGCTGGAGAAAAGAATGATGAACAGCTTTGGGCTGTTGCCATGTCTATACTATGAACTAAGAACCAGTGGAGCCCAAAATGTCAACCCTGCTTTTCCTGGACTGAGGAACATTTGCTAAATTCTGGGACAGGAGGGAACACTGGGAAGCGGCTGGGCTGGAATAGCAGGTTGAGAGTTTGGGGAGCCTAAGACAAATTGACTGCTCTCTCCCTCAGGATATTTGCCAGATTTTGAAACTGCGTGGACTAGAAAGCTAATGAACTGACCTCAGATTCTCTGAGGACCACATCTGTGAGGGCTGCAGGAGGTAGGCTGGCTAGGCTTTCAGTCTAAAAGCCAGGAGAGGCACTCCAGAGACAGGGCAGTCCAGAGGAGGTGGAATTTTACCAGCACTCTGGCTGCACCAGCCCGCCCTACACACATCTGATTACACTGAGGTGATCAGCTCCTCAGGGAACCTTCTTTGGGGATGATGTTGTTGTTGTGTGTACACCTGGAAGCAGAACTGGCCGACAGCCAACTGTCCAGCAGGTTTTCTAAGGCAGTAAATTCTAGGAGAGAAGTTTGCCCATCCTTCTCCCACGGAGCAGCTGGTGGGTTTGAACCATGTATCTTTGCGATTGCATCTCAGCTTCTTATCCCTAGGCCACTGTTGTTGTTGATTGCCTTTGAGTCGAGCATGACTTGTAGCAACCTTATGAACAAAAGGCCTGAAGCCCCTCTACAACTATTGACATTTGTCAAAGTTCATAGAGTTTCCACAAGCACATTGTTTAGAAAGTAGATGCCACTCCTGCTTCCAAGCCTGTCATAGAATGTTATTCGAGTCACCTGAGATGCAGAGCGACCCTACATACAGCAGCTCTGAACCCTTCCCTGTCCTGAGCCAGACTCACTAATTCTGACACACAAACCCCCATTGCCCCAGTTACTGTATCACTAGAGCTCTAGAGCTCCTTAATTCCTTCTAGGAGATGGAAGTTGGAGCTCTGGAATAAACTAGATGAAATCCAAGTATCTAATAACAAGAGAATGGATAGACTGTGGTATATGCATACAAAAGAAAACTATACAGTACAAAAAACAAACCACTGATGTACCCACCAACATTGCCGATTCTCAAAAATATGTGTGCTAAATAAAGCAGCCAGACACAACAGAGCTCATATTGTATGCTTCTGCTTACATGAAGTTTGAGAACAGGTGAAACTAGGCTTTAGAGAAAGAAGTCAAAAGAGTGGCTGTGTCTGCAAGGCGCTGAGGGGAAAAGAAGTGAGAGTGCAGGGGAACAGCCAGGGCTCTTCCAACTGTGTGTGGGTTTCCGCCACATGGGAAAGTCTTGACGGTTGGCTTGTGTCTCCGCTGAATGTGCTGTATTTCTTCTGGAACAAAAGGAGATAAGCTGCAGTTTCTCACCTGCCTCCCTACCTTGTGGGAGACTCAGCAACCTACATCTTCCTGGTCTAGGTTGAACACAGGGCTTTCTGCGTCCCCCTTGCCCCGCCCCCCACCTTAGGGTCAGGTCATAAAACAGACTGTGTTTTAGAAGTGGATGCTCACAGTGGCCCCTTCCGTCATGTGCCTCCTCCCCCCTCCAATTGAGTATCATCCTGTGAGACTAAGGAGGTGGGCAGCTGATACAGTGCCCATCTTACTTAAAAAAAAATGTATCTTCGCTGAAATTTAACAGCAAATCAAGGTCCCCTTTGACAGTTTTCACATAAACTTATCAGTGAGGTTAGACATCAGTTACATTTTTTTGTCAATATTCTCATTAATTGTGTTCTGATTGTTCTATTTCCAAAATTCGAGATTTTCTGCCCCCTTATCTCCTCATCTTTGAGTTAGAGTAATTGTTGGTCTTTTGGACTCAGGTGTCAGTGTTTTTAAGTAGAGCAGTTACATAATGGGTGACAGCTTTTGTGTCCTTCTACTTTTTAGCTGATAAGCGATCTCAGGGAATGGTTCTAGTTCAAGGTTTGAAGAGCAACTCGCGGCAATAGTCTTGAGTCCTCTAGTCTCAGGACCTCAGTTGTCTGGCTGTTTTTAAGACTTTCCATTTCACTCTGCATTTTCTTCACATTCTAAACAGAATTGTCCGTGGTGGCCCAGGTCACTTAACTTTCACAAAAAAAGTCTTGGTTGGCTTAATGGTTATGCACTAGTTTACTAAATAAAATATTAGCGGTTCAAAAGCACCAATCATGCTGAAGGAGAAAAATGTGGCAGCCTGCA